TATGAGACTCAGTTTACAAAGTTGTCCAAATTTGCTCCCGAACTGATAGCTACGGAACAAAGAAAAGTACGGAGGTTCATACAAGGACTGAACGTGGAGTTACAAGAAGCCTTAGCGGCGGTCCAAATTAATACATTCACCGAGGTTCTGGAGAAAGCCTTGAGGATAGAGACTGCTAGGGCACAAGTGAGAGCTTTCCATACAAAAAGGAGAGGTGGGCCTGGTGGAAGTCAAAGGCAAGGACAAAGTGATTTAGATATGCCACCTTCTAAGTTAGGTCGAGAAGATGGTAGTGAGAAAATTTCAAGGACGGTTAAGGAAAGTACTCCAAGAGGAGCTTCGCGTGGCTGGGCCCAAGCAAGAGGTACCTCACAAGGAGGTCAGACCTCAGCCCCTCAGGTATCTTGTGGGTACTGTGGGAAGGCCAATCATGTGGAGAGTGATTGTTGGCGAAAAGCGGGAAAATGTTTATGGTGTGGTAGCACCGAGCACCAGCTTGCAACCTGTCCCCGTAGATCACGCCTAAACCCTGAACAAGCAAGTGTAGGAGGAACTAAGCCAAGAGTGCCGGCTAGAGCGTATGCCTTGAACCAACAGGCAGTACCTGAACCAACAGAGATAGTAGAAGGTACGATTCGTAATTTCTATTGTTTAACTAAGTTTTGGCTATAGTGAGACCCGAGAGCCGGAAACGAATATATAAGGAAAATACCCTACGTTATTCGAAGTGCATGTATGAATTTCGAGGACGAAATTCTTTTAAGGAGGGGAGATTGTAACATCCCGAATATTAGGAGGTTGGTTATGAAGAAAATATTAAAGTGCATTTCTTTGGGTTGATTTAAAACCTAATTTTGTTTTAAAAAGACTAGAAACCCTAATATTGTAGCCCAAAACCCTAGTTTACTTGTGACTAACCGGTTTTCCTAAATCTCTCATATTTTAATTGAAACCCTAATTTTAAATTACTGGAATTGGAAAATTCCTCACGTTTTCTTAAAAATTTCTTTTTATTTGAAAATTATCATTTATTAAAACCCTACTATCCAATTATTCCATGATAAGTGTAAATAAACCTAGAAAATAAGGTTTTATTCTTCGGTTTCAAGTTTGGAGCAAAATTAGGGTTTTCGCGATTTTCTGCCGGATGAATTTTCGGTACGAAGCAAGGACCAAATTGGGTGATTAAAAGTGACTTTTAAGTGAGAAATAATATGTGAGTAGTAGCAATGATATAAGGTTAGTGAATGAGAAGTAAAAACCCTAGTACGTGAGTTTTAAGAAAAACGGCGTGAACCGGCGGGTCCCGCGCATTACCGATTGAACGCACTGCTTGACCACCATTTTTCTTACCCAACAAGTTTGTTCACTTTGTACATAATATCTTCTTATATTGTAGCAGCCTTGACCGAAATTAGTGGCCAAGAAAGAAAGAGAAAAAGAAAGGGTGGTGGTGGTGACACTTGTCACCACCTCATGGCTTCTTAACCAAGACCATTAGTAACCATTTAAATCCAACACTTAGCAATTTCTTCTTCATTTCTGCTGGGCTGGCTGAGAACAACAAGGAGAGAAACTCCAAAGGAAAATCTTTCATTTCATCTCCAAATCCAACAAATAAGTGAGGAATCGAGCAAAGTAAACCGATTAAACTTGTTTTCTAGTGACTAGCTAGTGAGTTGTGGAGTGATTCTTGAGGGGGAGAGCTTGTGCTACTCTTGGTGACTTTTATTCAAGGTAAGAGAGTTTATCTCTCCAAGTTTTATTTCTAATCTTGTTATATTAAGCCTAGTAACTTGATTTTATGGTGAGATTATGGATGATGAGCATGTTTTAGTAGTTTTCCCCAATTTATTTGATGCACTAGGGCTTATGGAAATTCTGCCCAAATGATTGTATGATGTTTATATGTTGCAATTGAGGTGTTATATGGTGTTTTGGTAGTGATTGGACCAAGAAATTGAGGAAAGATTCACTAGAAACTTAAAATTTCCAAAATCTGGAAAATGGTCTTAACATTCTGTCCGAATTTTTATCTATATGCTAGAGGCTGTTTTGGCCTTAGGTCAAAGAAAAAAAGTTGTAGAAAATGACATTTTATAGGTGCCTACAAAGCATATACTATATAATTGATAAAATTATATGTCTAATTGATTTCTTATGAATTGAATATATGGAAATACCCTAAATCAATGTAAGGAATTTTCCAAGAAAACACAAATAAAGTTAGGAGTTAATGTATAAAATAATAAAACTACAGCCTTAGTAAGCAAATAAATTAAAGTTAAAAGACGAAGTTACCCTGGAACCTAAAGAATTGACCAGGCAGCCAAGCAAAATAAGTTATCAGCAATTTTACAATAGGAACCGAGTGGAAGTAAGGCAATCAAATGCTAACCAAAACTTGGGCGGTGATTGAGAAAAACCAAAGAGAAATCAGCTGCCAAATATATTTGGACAGTTGGCCTGAGTGGAGCAGCCTAGTATTGTGTAGTACCAATTGGAAAAGTTGACCACCGAATAGCATTTCCTTCTGCTAATTCTTAAGCCTTCTAAACAGAGAGATAAGTGAGTATAAGAGGAAAATATTTCTGGTTCCTTTTTATTTCAGCTTGCACCCGAGAGAGAGTGAGGGAGAGAGAGTTAGACATTTGCTAGTTTCATTTCTCCAGCTTGCAACCTCAAAACCGTGAGCCAAAAGTGAGAGAAGGGAGCGAAATCTAGGTGGTATCCTTCACCTACCAGCCTCAACCAAATGAGAGTGAAGTAGATAGAAGAAAGAAGGAGAGCTGGTGCAGACCTTAAGGAACTGAAGCTAAGAAATCTGCCCGGTCTGTAACTTTTAAATCTTGAAAGAAAGAGGTAAATTTTCTGTCATCAATCCTTATTTACGAAGTATAAATGAATATATATAAGCTGCAAGTTAAGTTTTAGTAGGGGAAAATGAGTTTCGACTGAAGAAAAGTTCTGGTTTAAGATTAAAATTGAAGCTGGACTGAACCTGTTGGAACTAAGAGATGATTGATTAAGTTACAGCCTGTTGTCAATGGAAAAATGGAAGAATGTTGTAGTAAATGCATGAAAATGTTTATTTCTGGCATGAAGTGAAATTTAGCTATAGGAACTTGTGAAAGTTGGAACTTTGAGTTGAAAACAAAGAAAGAAACCTGCTGGAATTCTTATAGCATCATCCGAGAGAAAGGGACTGGATATGTAGCTTATCATTTGAGATTATGGAAAAATTTTCATTTAAGAATTCAAGCTATATGTTTACACTCTTGTGCTATCTGAGAAACTAAAGCAGAGTTTATAACTTAAGTGAGAATATTTGCAAGAAATAGTTGGAGGTTCTGTCTAGCTAGCCGAGAGATTAAGTAAGGAAATTTTCCAATTTTCTTGACAGATTTTTGGGTTCCAAATTCCTACATTGAACCTGAATACCTTGCATAATTTTTTAGTTTTAGCATGCATGTTGGAGTTGGAACTGAAGTAGTTAATGGAGAAATTTCTTGTTTAAAAACTGATTGCTGTCCAAAACAATCACAGCTTGACCGAGAGAGAGAAATAGACTTCAGATCAGTTTTTCCTTTGAAATTCTGGCTGTAAAATTTTATATTGATGATCAAGTTTACTCTGTAGTTGGAGAATCATCTTTTGCATGATGAGTTGGAGTTAAAACTGAAGAAAATTATGGAGAAAGCACCATATGTTAAATTGCTATACTGCTGGAAATTGTAATGTGTTGCTGGCCGAATTAGCTGAGGCTTTTGGTGGATTCTTTTCTGGAATTATGTGTTATTTGTTCTAGTTTGGGTGGGCAAATTACGAGCTATGTGTTTAGCATTTCAAGCAAGTAAAAGATGGAGATTTGTTGAACAATTTGAATGATATTGCTGGAATTTATACTTGTTGGCCAAAACAGGGAAGAGATGAACTTTCCTTGAAGTTTTTGAACAAAAGTCTAAGATAGTTTGTTGTAACTATACATATAAATAAATATATATAATATATATCAGTTTGTAGCATCTTAACCTTATTTTGAATACTTTAAAGAATTTAAAACTCGAAGGGCTAGTGAAGTGGAACAAATAGGAATAACATGCAAACTAGAGTCCAGTTCAGTCTAAAAGGGAAGAAATAAAAGTTCCATCAACTTTAATTATTAAGATTAGAATGAAATGATTTAATCTTAGCTCAAATATTTTATAAGATCTTAAAATTTATATATGTACATTAACCTTGTTTTAGAGCTACCAAACCTAATGGATTTTGAAGTAATATTGCTGAATTATGTTGAATGGTTGAATTGGTAATGAGATGAAGACTTATATAATGTTTTAGAAACTTTAAGGTAATTTGTTATGGCTATATACACGAAATGGCTCCTAATCACTTAAATTAGTTTTTATAATATTTAAGAGACTATAAGACTTGAGAAGTTAAGGTTGTGAAACAAAATTTAATTCACTAACAACCTAGAGCTTAGTTAGTCTTAAAAGGGAAAATGGAGTATCTATAAGTCAAAATTAATACTGGATTGAGAAAGTATATTAGTTTAAACATTATACAAGTTTATAAACTTGAAGATAGGTATTTCATGGTTTAAAATATAATAAAGTCAATAACTTTCAAAATTAAAATGATAAATAAATATTGAGAATGCTATAGTTGTAGTTTAAGGTCAAACTTGATTTAATAAGTTTAAATAAACACTACTACAAAAGTGTCCTTTTATGACATTCAAAAGCGTCATTATAGATCTATGTCATGACGTTTAGGCTCTAATGACGCTCTATTAGAAGCGTTATCCATTCTAGCGTCACGATAGGTTTATGACAATTTTAAGTGTCTCAATTTATCATTATTATGACACTATTAAATATCATTATCTATGCATATTATGACACTTTCAAATGACAAGAAATGTTGGGGTACAATAACATATCATGTCACTTTTTTAGTATAAGTAGATAGAAATATTATGACACTTTTGAAGAGTAACTAGATCAAGCTTTTATGACATTTTCTACTTGTCGGTGTAGCATCCAAATTAAAGTGTTCCAAATTCCTGCTGTATATCATATGACGGCAGAAACCACATTTCATCCTGCCACACAAGCATCTCCAATCCTAAATTTTGAAGGATTGTAACGTAGCTAGTACAATAATATAAAAGAAGCAATACAATCATCCAAACTTGAGCAAAAGTACATCATCCAAACAATCCACACCAAAAGTGTCTACAAATTACAAACTAATTTAGAATAAGGGAAGCCTTAAAGATGGATCAGAAAATTTATTATTTGAGCCAGCAGCAACAGCACCACTACTGCCACTGCCTGAAGTGAGTGATCATCTTCATCCAAAGACAGTCTTTCATATGCTACGTTAGTGAAAGAAGCAGCAATAACAATCACAGGTCCAAAAGCAATCAAAGCTCCCACAACATTTCCTCCAACAACTTGACCGTATCCACCAGCCAAATATATGGTCAAATTGGTGGCACCCGGTGGAGCTGATGGTGGAAGGAAGGAGCCTGACAATGATAAAATCTCGAACCAGCCATGTAACGTCATGATTGAGCCGGCAGCAGCCGGTTGCCTCAAGCTCACATTGTTGACCGTGCCACTACTACTCAATATGCAAATACCTCTTTGCCTTTTTCTAACATATGTTGCAACTAATTCAAACACATCACAGCCGCTATTGACCTCTAATATATGTGCTGGGAGCGTGTTGGCGCTCTCTTGAGTGATTATCACCGGGAGTTTAGGCTTGTTTTTGGAGCTAGGCGGCCGGCCTCTTGGCCGACGAGCTATAACATCGCCTGAGCTTGTGTTTGATGTGACCAGCTCTATATAGACAAAAACAGCTAAATATCTCAAACAGAAAATGCATGTTCAAACTAAAGATCTGAAGAGAAAACATAAAGACACATTCAACCATGTTGCAGTATTTCAGTTCTCTATTCAACTCAAGATAAGTTTATAAAATAAATTTCAAGAAAAGAAGGCAGAGCCTTGGCAAAAAATTAAAGGGTATGCTGCTTGGAAGAATTGAGTAAACTAGAGAGCAAATCCATTTGGCAAGCAATGAAAAACTCATTTAGTCAATTTATCAAACATGTGGTGGGTCACAGATGCTACCAAACTGATGCTAAAGAAGGCTATAACATTTTCTTGGAATCTTTCGACGGCATCCAAAAGACAATTATCTTTCGACATCATCCATTTAGACCTAAAGTTAAAATTATCTCTTAAATACAAGAAATCAAAAAGAAAACAACCTGGATGTTAACAAAAAATTGAATCATTGATATTCAGTAAACTAAACAAACATCTTAATCATCATACCTCCATCGGTGGGATGAATCCTAGTTGCTTCCTCCTTGAAAAATTAGCAGATTGGCAAGAAAATTGGCTAAATTTGCCCTAAATTGAGAGAAACAAGAGAGGGAGGGAAAAGTCACAATACAAAAAGAGATAAAATGCAGCGGGTGAGGAGAGATGTGATGAGATGTGGTAAGTAAGAAAAGGGAGGAAATATTAGAATTTTTGGTGAAAATAATCACGCGCTAAAACATAGAGCCAATTTTCAAAATTAAGGGTGATACGGTGTAGTTTTGTCTATTTTTGGCACCTTTTTAATGACACTCCTGACTGACTGTCATGTTATCACCCTATTATGACGTTTAGGAAAAAATGTCATAATACAAGTGTCACTAAAAGCTATTTTTCTAGTAGTGAAAAGAATAACAAATGATCGACTACAAATTATATATTTACTTCGAACTTATTAACTTGTACTAGGAAGTAGCCGTGAACCAGGAAACCAACTCAAGACTCGAGAGTAGTCATTTGAATCCTTGGTGAGTGTTTTCCGAATTTTGTGTTAACTGTTTATATGTATGTCTTATGAATATTGCTAAGTGATTCATTGTGAAGTGTTTTCAATTGTCCCTCGCCTTCTAAGTCGGGAGTGTACTTTATCGCAGTCGACTTAGTTTGAGCTTGAAGGTATTAAGCTAAGAAACTCTTATTCTCTCTCTTATGTTGCATTTTATTGGATAGATGACTTGAATCTTGAATTATATTGGATGATATTCTAGTTTTGATGAAGATTAACGAATTTCAGCTAGGGTTAGTGATTCTGCCCAATTTTTGGACCCAACTGGAACTGCATATTCGTTCGTGATAAAGAACAAATAAGTTCTTACTCAAAACATAAAAGTTTTAGGGAATTGAGTTAGCTAGCTACCTGTGAAATTTCAGCTCAATCGGAGCACTGTAGTGAATGAAATGTCTAAAATACCCCTGACTGCCCAAATACCCAGATTAGCTGACAGTCTTCTGTTTTCTCTGAGATTGCGATTTTTGACCTTGAAGATGCAAGAACTTGGTGTCGCTATCTTCATAGGAAATGTAGGTCTCTGTCTTAGCTTCGAAACGTCATAAAATTTACCCCAATCCGATAAGCATAGCTTCAGTTGTGACTGCTGAGAGATGTCAAACCTACTGTGTGGCTATTTGTCTTTAAAACTAGTTTCTAACTTCTAGCTTTGATTTGGATGGTTGCACTGCTCGAATTGACTTGTAATTGGATAATATTGAGTCTAGTTGAATAGCTATTGTGTTGAGCTTGTTTATATGTTGAATTGGGTTGAGTTGAGGAAAATAATGAAGCCATAAATGGCTAGAAAATAGCTAAATACAAAGGGCATGCTATCCAAATTTTCACTCGAAGGTTAGGCATGTGTACTTGCGGTTTGAGCGAAGATTTGAGGTCGAGTTGAACTTGGATTATCTATGGTATTCGAGTCTTCTTTCGTAAAGGTATATAAGCTAAAATTTGGCTAAAACTCATACCCTTGGAAAAATGAATGTGGTGACCACTCGGAATATATTTTCCTCGTCTTTTAGACTCAAATGCGAATTCCAAAGTTTTAGTTGCTTCTTTAGCAACACCAACAGAGCGAGCATGAATTTTCTAGTGTTTGATACATAACACGAATCCTATCTAAACGAGTTTCATGTACTTGACCTGTTTAAAGCGAAACTCTTAAGTTTCAAACCCTAGTGATTTCAAGCTTTTAAATAATATTGTATCGCAGATTTGGACTCCAACCAAGGAGTTACACCTGAACGTGATTTTGACAAGCACTAAATCTTTGGTGAGTGCTTCCAAATACCTGATTGAACTGGACACTTGTTTTCAATACTTGACCACTGTGATTTAATGATATGTAATTGTTTGATTGGGCAAGAGTGTACTTTATCGCACTTGCCCTAATATGATATATACTTGTTTATTTTTGCTATTGACTTGATATACTTGTACTTGACTTATAAGTGCTGAGCGGCAGCATGTACCACACTCAATGTGAGTGGGAGGTGCCTCTCATTCCCGTCTTCGTACTTTTATTTTGATTCAGTCGATTGAAGATGTTATCTCATCGACTTTTTGGGGACCCAAACCCCACTGGCTATTTAATCGAGTCGAGCTGACAAGGGCTTGGTCGATTAGATAACGAACCATGAGTATCTAGTGTTGTCAAGTGAAGCGTTATCTTTTTGACTAATCGGTATACTCGAGTATTACCACCAATGTTTATCTTGGAGTTCGGACTCGATAAGGGGTTAAGTTGGTGGACGGAGATTGGAGTTAAGTGGTGTACTACTGGACTAGTTACTTTACTTGAAAGTTGACGGAGTGTCAACTAATACTTGATCATACTCTGGTGAAGAAATGAGAATTTGGCTTCTAAGAGCCATCTGTATCCTTATACATTGATTGTTATTCGAAGAGTTATTATTCTTTTTGGAAAACAAAAAGAGTTTTCACTCGCTTATTTTGACATTTGCTATTTGAAGTATTATTGCCTCACTTTTATGAACTTTTCATACTCATTATTTTGCTACGTGATCTTGCACTTTTAAATAATGGTCAACTTGCTATTTAGAACCTCATTGGGCTTTTAACTCATTCCACGCCATTTGTTTTCCTTACAGGGGATACGAGGGAGGCGTGAGACTGGTACAGAGTAGCTAGTTTTGAAGTTTTTGAAATGGTACCCGCTAGCACTCGACTAGGGTTGATTGTACTCGAATTGTAAACACTTTGAAGTAGTTTGGTGTGCAGAAGTTTTGTATCTGCATTTGAGTATCAATGTCTATATTAAGTTGAAGTGGATGTGTTATTTATTTTTATGGATGTACGGTAATTTTTCTTGAGTTATGAGTGAGTGAGTGAGTTCTGGTGAGAGTTGGGCAGGCGATCCGCCAAACCCTGGAGTACGCCTAGGGGGAGATGAGGCCGTTACACTTTCTAAACTGCATCAATTATCTCAGGGGATGGCTTTGAACTGGAAAAAGTAGATCCAAAATGGTCTAAGATAATGTTCTCAAGATCATCATGGGAGTTGCACCACTGCATGGCATTGTTAAAAGGCCATGTATTTGATTTTGCTTCCTTCGTTTGGATGCATGTGCATGAAAAAATGCTGTAATCCGATCCCCCTGTCGATACCACTAAATTTTACTCCTTTGCTTCCACATGATGTTTTTCCGGATCCAAAATATCCTCTAACTGATTTGTTAAAGTCCAAATTTGAACCTAACAACATCAGTAAGGGTCCCTTTCTGTAGTTTAGCAACTTTTTCCTTAGATCATCAGCTGTAGTTAGATGGTGTAATAGAGGCGTTAGCCATGTGTACAAACTGTGATTGCTGATCAATAAAATTCTTTATTATTTGCCCAAAAGAAAAAGAAAACACTATAGCCGTTATTTGTCAAACGTGGATTTTTGACTTCTTTAGTCCACGCCTTCAAAATCGTTGTTAGACTTCCAATTCATCCATGAACACTAAATCATCTACCCATTTGCACCTTGAACATACAAAAAGTTAATATATTTACTTTGTTTGACGTCACAAATTTTACCAATCAATGTATAGTTGAAAACACATTTGATATTTTGCATTAATTAGATTGGTGTAAATCAATACTCAGTGCAACTTGTACACCAAATATTGTTTTCCACCAACTTATTAGAAAGATACATCAAGTAGTACAAAAGTTATATCAATTTGATTAGTGTAATATAGGTTTAAGGAAAAAAAAAAAAGTAATATAGGTGTAACACTCATTTTCGTAACGTTGGATCCGCTGCTCACAATTTTGTCGATCCCCTCTTAGCGCTCTTGGTAATTTGCTCTTTCTTCTTCGCGAAGATAAAAACGTGAAATCTCTCTCTCTTTTTCTTGCCAGTTGGCATTTCTTTTCTTTCCAATCTCCACAATGTATAACGTCAAGTTTCAGAAGAAACTTCTCAGAAAGAAGAGACCAAATCTCAAGCCTGATCGTAAAAATATAAAACAAAATTAAAAAAAAATGATAAAAGAAAGAGACCCAGTCTCCTCGACAGCCAAAACCAGATTTTCATTCGTGCACGTGTGATGGTGAGAAACTGATTATCAACACAGGAATGCATAATCTTGACGTCAGCTGTAGGTCGGTTCCAGTGATTAATACTGTTAAATTAATCTGGCATAGGGTCCACAAATACAGTGGTTCCAGATGTCAAAGAATCCACTTGGATTGTTATTTTTCAAAATCTTTATAGAAAAAATATATTGTACCAATTTAATATATATAAAATAATAAATAATTAAAAAATATATTCATTAAAATAAAAAATAATTTTTAAAAAAAATAACTTTCCAAACAAAGCATTACACACGAAAACCTAATTACATATGTAATATGTCTGCTTCCTTTTCTCCTGTCGAAACTAAGATGCAATATCATGGCTGGTCAATTTTAGTTGGGTAGAGGACAAGTTGGCGATCATTTGAAATTGACATCTTCTGGAATCCATTAAA